CTGACATCATGTACACAGGTACAGTAGACTGCTGGAGGAAGATCGCTCGTGATGAAGGAGCCAAAGCGTTTTTCAAGGGGGCGTGGTCCAATGTTCTCAGAGGCATGGGTGGTGCTTTTGTGCTGGTCTTGTACGATGAAATCAAGAAGTTCACATGAGTTACTTCCTAGTCTTTCCCCCACTGTGAACAGGCATGTTGTATTATATAACATATCTTGAGCATTCTTGACAGACTGTTGGCTGTCTATTTATCAATGGCAACTATTCCTCTGGTTGAAAACGGGAAGCAATAATACTCATCTGACCAGTTTTCTCTTAAAGCCATTTCCATGATGACGGGACTCAATTATATTTTTTATTTCAGTCACTCCTGATAAATTTGAAGAAATAAAAAATACCTGAAATATATTTTTGTCTGTGACTTAATTTGCATGTTTTAGTGAGTGCTACATTTGAGTAGATGCTCCATGTTGAGTAAATGCTACAGTATTTCCTGAGATGGAAAGCTTTCTTTTCAAACCAGTCTCCAGCCCTTCACTTCTCAAAGAATACCTTGGTTGTGTGACCCATCCATATTCCCAATACAGTAGCAAAATTCAGGCCCAGTGTATCCAAAACTACAGGTCCATTGCCTGTGGATGGCCATATAACTGAATGAGCTTTCTCCGAAGAAAAGGACCACATACCCACCTTTCCTAGTCCTGTGGTTATTAATCAAGAAATACAAACTGAATTGTCCGCTTTGAAATGGCCGTTGTGTGAATTTCATCTAAACAGGAAAAACCTTGGGGCGCCTGGGTGGCTCAGTCAGTTAAGCGGCTGCCTTCGGCTCAGGTCATGATCCAGGGGTCCTGGGATCGAGTCCCACGTCCGGCTCCCTGCTCAGCGGAGAGCCTGCTTCTCCCTCTTCCTCTGCCTGCCACTCTGCCTACTTGTGCTCTCTATCTGTTGAATAAATAAAATCTTTAAAAAAAAAAAAACAAACAGGAAAAACCTAAAAATACAAGGTAATGGCAAATTTTCATCCAGTTGCCTTCCCTCATCCACCTTGACCTGGCCCAAGCCATTTTATTTTAATCCCATTCAAAGCAGAGGATTAAAGCTGGCTCAGTTAACACAGGGCTGAGGTCGCAGCGCCCGTCAAGATTACAGAACGGGACAACTGCCCCCACCTCAAAACTCCTTTCACAAAAGAGGTAAATGTGGCATCTGCCGCATTCTGTCAGACATGCTAATAATAAGCCCGGTCAATGGAGGACATTTATGTTTCTTTTGGATAAGCCCTTACTTGGGATCCACATGAGAAATGGTTTAGGGGCACCCAGGTGGCTTAGTCGTTAAGCGTCTGCCTTCGGCTCGGGTCATGATCCTGCAGTCTGGGGATCGAGCCCTGCATTGGGCTCCCTGCTCAAGGGGAGGTCTGCCCCTCCCCCTGCACCCCTGCTCATGCTCTCTCACACACTCTCTCTCTCAAATAAATAAAAAAAAAAATTTTTTTTTAAAAAAGGTTTAGTTTCTGTAGCTCCTGGCTAGACCTCAGAAATCAGGGGATTTTGCCTGTAACCCAAGATTTGTTATGAAGAATAAAGCCCCACGGCTGTCAAACGGCAACATTGAAAGTAGAAAGTGATGGGTGCGCCACGTGCACAGGCGAAACCCATTCCTGAGCAACAGTGCACACCCCGGCATGGTGAAGTGCAGCTCACGGCCGGGGTCTGCGTGTTGGGGAGTAATGCCCGGGGGAGGTGCTTGGTGCATGCCCCCTGGCCAAGCATCAAGATCAAAGTATGGCTTAGTTCAGAACACTTCACAATGTATACATATATCGAAACCTCAAGTCGTACACCTGAAATATATACCACTTTTATATGTTAAAGATATCTCAAAGGTCTTTTGGGTTTTTTGTTTTGTTTTTTTAAGAGTTTATTAGAGCACACGAGCAGGGGGAGAGGCAGAGGGAGACGGAGAAGCAGACTCCCCGCTCAGCAGGGAGCCTAATGCGGGACTCGATCCGAGGACCGAGATCATGACCTGAGCCGAAAGCAGATGCCCAACCAACTGAGCCACCCCAGTGCCCCAATACCTCAAAGTTTTTAGAAAACTGAAAACTCGTGGTACCAGAGAAGCCTGGATTGTGCTGTTCAGTTGTGCTGTTAGGCAAGTTACTTGATTTCTCTAAGCCTTGGTTTTCTTCATCTATAAAATGAGGATAATAATGCCTCAGAAGTTTGTTGGAGGGATTAAATAATTTATGCAAAGCATCTGCCATAGAACATACATAATAACCACTTTGTAAGTGCTATCTATGATCATTGTTAGGAGGCAGTGAAGTTTTCGGGGCTCCAGAATCAGAAGTACTTGGATTTGGGGGGCACCAGCCTGGCTCAGTTGATAGAGCATGGGACTCTTGACCTCAGAGCTGTGAGTTCAAGCCTCACCTTGGGTGCAGAGCTTACATACACACATACATACATACATACATTAAATTAAAAAAAGAGAGAGAAGTACTTCAATTTGGATCCTGGCTCTTGTGTACTTAGCTGTATGACCTTGGGCAAGTCACTTCGTCTCCCGAGTCTCAGTTTCCTCATTCATAAAATGGGGGTATAGTAGAGCTAACCATATTTCCTAGGGGTGTTGTGAGTGAGGATTAAGTAACATAAGGCATTAGAACAAGTGTGGCATCTGGCATCTAAGTAAGTAAGCACTCCAATGTGAGTTTTTCATAATTAGGCTCCATTTTGTTCAACGAAGATTTGCCTGAGCAGAGCACTACTTAAGAATGAATTCAGCCGTCGGACACATGCAAAGATGCTCAACATCACTCATCATCAGGGAAATGCAAATTAAAACCACAATGAGATATCGCCTCACGCCTGTTAGAATGGCTATTATCAAAAAGACGAGAAAACAAGTGTTGGCGAGGATGTGGAGAAAAAAGAAGCCTCGTGTAGGTTGGTGGGAACGTAAATCGGTGCAGCCACTGCGGAAGTTTCTCAAAAACTTAAAAATAGAAATACTATGTGATCCAGTAATTCCGCTGCTGGCTGTTTACCCAAAGAACATGAAAACACCGATTCAAAAACATATATGCACTCCTGTTCATTGCAGCATTATTTACAATGGTCAAGATATGGAAGTAACCTAAGTGCCAACGGGTAGATGAATGGATAAAGATGTAGTATATACCTATAATGGAATATTACTCAGCCATAAAAAAGAATGAGATCTCGCTATTTGCGACAACATGGGTGGACCCGGACGGTACTATGCTAAATGAGAGAAGTCAGAGAAAGCCAAATACCATATGACTTCATTTACATGTAGAATGTAAAAAACAAAACAGGCCAACGAACACACACACACACACACACACACAGTCTCAAATACAGAGAACAGGTGGTCGCCAGAGGGGAGCAGGGTCGGGGGGATGGGCAAAATAGGCGAAAAGAATTAAGAGATACTGACTTCCAGTTTTGAAATAAGTCACAGTGATGAAATCCATAGGGAATACCACCAATAAGATCGTAATAACATTGTATGGATGCAGACGGAGACTACACTTACCGTGGTGAGCATCGTGTAATGTACAGCGTTGTCGAATCACTCCGTTGTTCCCCTGAAATGAATATAACATTGTATGCCGACTACACTTCAACTGAAAAAAAAAAAAAGAATGAATTCAAGCCTACTTTTCTTTTTCTGCAACAGACTAGACACATTATATTGTGTAGAATTTATATGAAATAAACTTCAGCTTAGGTCTTTTTCAGCTATAGATTTGATCCTGGAAGAGGGTAAGGGACTCTCCGCTTAGGGCCGCAAACCGCAATACAAGGGAACCCCCACCCTCTTTATGGTTATTACGATAGATGTGGACTCACTGATCCGGTAGCTATTAAAATAAACCTGGGACCAGGCATTAATGATCAGAAAGCAAGAAATGGTGTATCCTACAACTGGGTGGCTGACATGGATGAGGGGTTTTTGTTGTTGTTCTTTCTATTCTTGTTGTTCAGTGATTTTTGAAATTTAATTTAAAGACAAAGTGGTTTTAATCTCTCCAAGCTGTGCCGGATAGTGCTATAGAATTCATTATGTCCATTATGTTCATGCGAACATTGATGGTACACAATCTTAGCAACACCCTAATTTATGCCGTTGTTTTGTTACTATTCAATGCATAACAGAATCCGTGAAGCCTGATTCCAGGTGAGAGAGCCAGAATACAGGTCAGCTCGCGCACAGCCGCGCTTCTCATTCCAGGGGCCTCTTCACTCGGTCACTGGAGGCAGCGTGCGGCGGGTGCTCCGGACCGCTGGAGAAAGAAACCAGGGGTGTCTCCCCACAGGGGCAATTTTCGTGGATGGTAAGTCATTTAAGCCATTATTTTTGTAGTAAAAGAGATGCAGATACGTTAGAGAGTCTCTTGCACAATTTGAATGCATTTTAAAAACATAAGCTGCGAACGAAGAGAGTTCTTGCGTACCGAGGACCATTGATTGCTGGCACTGTCCCCAGACCCCTGGGGGAAACCTATTCAGCCTCCTCTGCCATTATGGATACTTTGGTAGAAATGTTTTAAAAGTACTGCGGTACCGGGTAACAGATTTTCAAGTGTCAGTGTTACTGGGATGAATTTCATGTCTCCTGTGAAGTTTGCGAGTATAGTATCTCTAATTTGTTGGGGTTGTTGTTGTTGTTGTTGTTTCAGATTTTTAACACCATTAATATCTGTACATGGTAATCAAAATGAAATAGTAAAGGAGAGACACAAGACGAAAAACAAATCTCTGCCCTCCCTCTCCCATCCCCTGTGCCCCTCCTCAAAAGTAACCATTATGAACAGTTTCTGGTAAATCTCTCCCCTCCAAAATTGACGCATATGGTAATAGCAGCTGATTTGTTTTTATCGGAATCATATTCTGACTGCTTGGCTTCAAAATGGCATGATTCTTTCAGACCGGTGTCAGACTGTGGGGTCTACCAGGACTCAGAGATGCTGTCGGAGACAGGAGCGTGGTGGAAGGGGTAGCTTCTGGACTCGGAGCAAGGATTTATTTCTAAGTGCGACCCTTTATTAAAAGCCCAAACCAGTACTTTCCTTTCGGGTTTTAGCTTTGGTTGCTGAGCGACCCGGGGGCAAGCCCCATCTCACATCAGAGCTTTGGTTCCTCCTGTAAAGTCCCCTCCAGTTTTAGATGTCCTCGGGCTCCATCATTTTTACATAAAGCCGAATCGGTGAAAAGACTAGGATTAGGTGATTTAATCCTTCCAGAGAACATTTTTTAAATATCGAACACAGTTGTAAGTGAATAGTCTCTGACTCAGAGCAGTCATTTGCAGACTGTGTGGGTGGGTTGGCGTTGGCAAGTGAAATTACAAATGTAAAGATTTACAT